ATTAGATACTCAGGTAGTACTTGACTTTAAAAGTATTTATAAAATTTAAATTTTTCTTTGAATTTTAAATGAAACAGCATTAAGAAATGAGATAGAAAAGATAAGAGGGTGTATTTAATTACCACACTTTCCCACTGTTATTATTTATTATTATACTATTTAGATTTCATTGCATAACATTTTTAGGTTTTTATTGAGTGAAGAATCACCTGAGTTTTGGTTCCAGTTCTGCCATCTATATTTAATTTCTCTAAGCCTAAGCATCATTATCTCTATAAGTATTCTAATGTATAAATAAAGATGGAGAAAATAATACCTGGCCTATCTACTTTAAGGTAGAGCTATGAGAATAAACAGGGAGTATTATGTGAAAAAGCTCTGAAACATTAACTTCAGAAATATATATTAAGTATTAAAGAAATTTCATCCTTTCCAAATGTCTATTTTTACAGGTGTTTCTTCAAAAAACCTTATTCTTCCCTAGACTAAAAAGTCATGCTCCTTTTTTTCCCTGTCCACTACATATTGGAGTACATATTTCAACAATAAACAGTTTAAGATTTAAAAATTGTCAAGTTTTGTTGCTGTGATTAGGTCTAGGAATGAGGGAGTAAGGGATAGCAAGAATAAACTAGACTAGAATTTCCCTCCCTTCCTTCTTATTCACTCTCCCATAACTTTCCAGCTATGAGTCCTTTAAGTTGAGAGTAGAGAGAACTGAAGGACGTAAAAGAAAATGACAGGTTAATATTAGATGTCCTTTGGGAGAATCTCAGGAATAGCTTGAATCTTCACCTGTAGTTTCACTTAAATTCCACCAGGTATAAAAAACACTGTGACTCAGTGGTTTAGCAACAAGCCGGAAAGTCAGGACCTGTGGGTTCTGGCCATGCACCTGACATTTGTTTTTCACAAGTGAGCTAGTCACGATCACTCCCAAGTTTTATTTAGTTTTTCATGTATTAATGAGGACAATGATGCCAAATTACTTCCCAGGGTTGTTAAAAAAAAAAAAAAAAGACCTCACAAGAGCTATCATGCCATAAAAACTGTAACAAAGGTAGCTTTTATGCAAAAATAGATGTAAAAATATTCCAGAAGTTTCTATACAGATATAAAGCATTACTTTTACCTAAGATGTGTGAAAAGGGATATGGTGATTTTGAAACAAGTAGATAATCCTGAAATTTCTTTTGGATTATTAAATTTAATCTCCCACTCAAACCTTTGCAGAATTAATAAGAAGAGAGATTTTTGAAAATGGTGTTTGACTTTCTTCTCATTCCTCAAGTATTTACACAGTGATGGTGGCCAGTGAATAGGGAAAGAGTCTAAGGAAAAAGCAGGAGGTAAAAAAGAAAAAGGCCCAGAAATCATCCATTCTTTGTTTAACCTCATTCTTATTTTGTGTTTTCTGTAAGCAAGAGCAATAAGTAGTACACTAATTTTGAAACACACCTCATTAAGACAGCACTGGGCAGCTTTCCTTAAAAAAAAAAAAGGCTTATTAAATTTCATTTAATAAGTATATTTGGGGGCCTATTCCACATCAACACATAACCAAAAATTCTCAAGGCCCCCTAGAGAGGCTTAGAGAGGTTAAGTGAATTGCCCTAAGAAAAAGAGTGGGTTTTCTCAAACTTATCTCTCTCAATTCAGAGCTAATACGCTTTATTATTGGCTATTCTGTTTCAGATAAAGCAGACATTACTTATGGAATAAGTCAACCCAACCTGTCTTGAGTAGTTACCAGGAAGTCAAGTTGTTCCAGGATTCTTCCCATCTCTCTCTGCAGCCACATGGGGCATAGCAAGACATCCCTACATATCTCTGCCTGCCTGCTTAATGCTCTTTTCTTGACTAGCCAGATTCTTTATACTTTCTACTCTTATAGCGCTTCATCTTTCCAAATCCCTAAAGGCATTCATTCATCTTTTGCCCTGGCTGCTTAATGACTTATTCTCTCTAGGGTTTTAAGTTCAGATTCCTAACAGCGAGAACTGATAGGCCCAGATCATGTTCATACATCAGGCCATAGGTTGTTGGTCAGTCCACAATGATTGGTTAACATGGGTCCAGTGCCCAACCCTAGGCTGTGGCTGAGGATGGGCAGGGCAGATCAGATTCCTTGAGAAATATGGTGTAAGTATGTGGGCATTCTGTAACTTAGCCTGTGCCATTTTTTTTTTAAATCTCCCAGGATCTGCTTCCTTTTTTCTTTGTGTGTTTCTATTAAAGATATTGCCATTCTTCCTCTCACCTGAACTGAAAGTCTAAAAAATTTTTGTTATTAAATAGACTTAATTTTGTTGGAAAAGTAATGCATTCACATGGTAAAATATTCAGAATATAAAAGGGTATACATAGTGGAAGCTGTCTCCTTTCTACCAAAAATTCTCAAGGCCCCCCTAGAGTCTACCACAGCTAACAGTTTTTGAAGTACCTTTCAGAAAAATTCTGTGCATGTTCAAACATTTTATCCACATTCCATTTTACCTAAATGGAAGAATACTACAAATAGATGTACTCTTAGTGTTTTCATTTAATAAGTATATTTGGGGGCCTATTCCACATCAACACATAACAAGTTTTTGTTTTTTTAAATGGCTTCATAGAACTGAATGACATATATGTGATTTTGTTTTTTACCAGTGCCCTTTTGATAGACATGTACATTATTTCCATTCTTGCTATTACAAATAAGGCTATAATATGCACATTTGTGAACAGCTATAAATAGTATCTATAAATTTTTCAGTCAAAGCATGAAGGACATTTCCTTTTTGATACATTTATGACCAAGTTGCCTCCAAAGATGTGCCAATTTCACCATCTGCATTATGAAAGTTCCTATTTGCCCATATCAGGCACAGCCTTGTATTCTGTCAAACTTTCTGACCTCTTCCAATCTGGTAATTTCAGTCATTTTCATTTTACTTCCTTTTTGCCTACTAAGTCAGTTTGTCAATTCTTTCAGTCTCTCTCACCTCCATCTGTGTCTTTCTAATTGCTGTGCTATGACCTTAATTTCAGCTTTTGCCTCTTTATGAATTAGCTCCTAATATCCCTCATTCCATTCTCTCCCCTCATTAATTCACAGTTTATCCAAAAAGTGCCAGATTAATATTTTCCTGATTTTACTTCTATACTCAGAAACCTCTAGTGGCCCCACCGACAACAGTATCAAGTCCAAATCCTTAGCCAGGCATTCAGTGCTCTTGAGTCCAGTCTGTCTACTTTAGCACCTTCACACATACATAAAAGTTCTGCTTCTAGCTTCTGTTTTGCTGTCATTATGCTTTTTGTTTCATCACTTCTCTCGCCTGGCATTTCTTCCTTTTCAAACCTACCTTCCCTTAATCCTTCAAGGTCTTCTGTGGTCACTTCATGCTGACAACCAGTTCACAATTCTTTCTTTTCAGAATTGTTAAACCACTCATTGTCTGCATCACTCATTTGGCATTTATTAACTAAGAGTTTATTGTTTTTCCTGCCTCCTGAACTAAACTATAACTCAAAGAAAACAAGCCATCCCTAAAACATTTGTATTTTACGCACACACATACATACAGCACATCTCATATTTTAAGGTGCTCAAAAAATATAGGTAGATTGAAACAAGGCCTAAATATATTAAAAGGAGGAAAGCACTGCTAAGCTTTCCAAAAAAGTTGAAATCCATGAAAGTAATTTACATCTATTTTCCCCAAACTACATTAGATGCCAAAGGTAGCCCCTCAGAACTCAAAAACACTGAAGTGTTCCAAGAAAGAGAAGCTTGCCAGTAAGAGGAAAAGTTTTTTAAAAAAGAAAATAATACTAGCTCAATAACCTAAGCTAACAATTTCCACCACACTGTGATGAGACTGTTAAATAATTTGACTGCATATAGTCTTTATCAGTTGCTATCTAGTGTGTACAGTCTTTTGACATAAAAAGTAGAGGAATTCCTGATCATCTGCCTATTACTTTGCCTACAGCCTAATTTCTCTCCTAGTGGGCTATATAGGTGGGTGATCAAGTCCAGATCGTGAATTTTTCTCACATCCAGTGAAACTAAGTCTCTGTATCTGATTAAAGTAAAATACTCCAGACCTTGTTTCAATTAAAGCTTACCTTAGAGATTAAACCATTCCTCTACATGAATTTTTGAAATACAGAACAAAACTGTATCTTTTCACATACACATGTGTATACAACGCATAGCAAGAAACATTTACAAGGGCATATATAGAAATGCATACTTCTGAGGAAAGGAGTCAATTGGTATATATTAGTTTTCTTTAAAAGAGAAATATTTTTAAGTCAAAAAGGGAATATATTGTACTTTGTTATTCATACATATATTCTATATGGAGTTTATCATTAAATTCTATGGTGCTTCTAAACATTCATCTAGGAGGAGCCTACCACTGATATTTCCTATTTAAACAAAATTCCCTGACCTATCTGATCTGTAAAAAAATATTTGGGGATATAAGTAATAAAAGAAGTTTTGGATCAAACCCTTTAATTCTATCACATTATCACAAGTTCACGTTCCTTAGTGAGAGGCAATATGGTGTTGTAGTGAACGAAAGGGACCTGAGTTCGTTTTGACTCTGGTAAGAATATGCTGGGGTGGGGGAACTCTGGGAAAATCACTTTCTTTGTAAAAATGGTGAATTAAATTAGCACGAATATTCTTTGAATACTGCAAGATTTACAAAGAAATATAAAGATTTATGAAGTCCATTCTATGGAGAAAAGTTATTATTCAGTTCTACAGTCAAGACGACAAACTCCAATTCGGCAGATACCAAGCCCCTAACATAGGCGCAGTACGCATCAAGACGCTCCCGTACTCTCAGGCGCTCACTCGCCAGGGTTTAAACGTAACTGCAAGACGCAAGTCTTGTCACTCAAAAAAGCCTTTCGATTCTCTTGGCCGTAGCCCTCCCCAAAGTGCCAAGGTCTAAATTGCCAACAGTCACCAAGCCATTAGTAAGACGAAGACGTACCTGCTGCGAACGCGGAGCGGACAATACTACAGTTCCCAGAAGGCCTCATCCACCGCCCTCTCCCGCCCCCACTCCTGCCCTTCTGCCGGCCGGGACTTGTAGTCCCTGCCCGCCGGCGGCGGCGACACGGAAGCGTGCTATAAATATGCTCTTCCCACTAGTAGGTAGTGAGACCACAACTTTCAGCTGAACTCCTACTCCGAGTGACTAGGGTTGGCCCGGCTCACAGTCGAATCACCGCCCCCCAGCGCTCCTCAGACCTACTAGCGGTCCAGGAGGAACCACGCCCCGGAAGTGGGTCGAGCCTCCCCGCCGACCGCAGGTGCCTTCCAGCCACTCCTCGCGGGGCTGGAGCCGGAGAGGCGGGCTTGAGGGTGGGGCCGAGGCGGGACGGGCGGTGCGGTGCGGCGTAGCGCCCGAGGCGGAGCCGCTCGCGGGGCCGCGCGTCTGGGTGGCTGCGGGGCCGCGCCCGTTGGGAGAGTCGGCTACGGCTGCTAGTGGGGAGCGGGGGTGAGGGGTAAGGAGGAACCGGGAAGGGGGCAGGGCGAGCGGGAGCCGTGTTCCTGAGGCGGTGGCGGCGTCTCGGACGGAGGAGGAGGAGGGCGGGGAAGGAGGATGGAACTGGCTGGGGGTTGGTACCGGCGCTAGCCGCCGCGGCTCGCCTCTTACTGTGGGAGAGCGACGGTTGCTCCTGGAAGTTGAGGGGTCGGGAGCAGGGCTGGAGCCGCCGCTGCCTCGCCTCCAGGGCGGCGGGGAGGAGCAGGGAGCGGCGGGGCTCGGGTGAGAGGGACGGGCAGGGGGAGCGAGCCGGGGAAGCGAGCTGGGGAAGACTGAGCAGGCTCTGCGCCGGGCGGGCGGGCGGCGGCGGCGGCGGCGGGGGGGCCAGCGGCCGCAGCCGGGGGAACGCGGGAGGATGGAGCAAGTGGAGATCCTGAGGAAATTCGTCCAGAAGGTCCAGGCCATGAAGAGCCCGGACCACAATGGGGAGGACAACTTCGCCCGGGACTTCATGGTGAGTCCCTCCCCTTGCCGTCGCCTCCTTTCGCTGGCACCGGAGTGCCCCGCCGCCTCGCCTGGTCTGCCGCGGCCGCCGGCGCTTTGTGTGCGGCTGTGAGGAGAGGGGCGGAGGGGGCGCGCACCAGCCCGCAGACCGGGTGGTCTCGGAGGCCTGCAGCGGCTGAGGCTGCCTCCGCCCCTCGGCCTCCTTTCCCTTCCTCCGGCGTGCGCGGCCCCCTCGGCGGGCGCCCGGGCGCGAAGGGAGCGGCTACCGGGCCGAGCCCGCACTCTGCACCGCCGCCAGCGACCACCTATTGTTTCTCGTGCTGAGAGCCGAAAGGGAGTGAGGTGCAGGCTGGGGCCAGCCTCCCCTCACCTCCGCATCCAGGCTGCCCCTCCTTGGGGGGTCGAGGCAGCGTGTCTGCGCGGGGCTGAGAGCAGATCCAGGCTGACGAAGGAACGAGGGTATCGAGGTTGGCATTAACTCGTGGGTCCCTCTCCTCAAGCTTGCCTCAGAGGTGGGCAAGGTAGGACTTCTGCCTTTTCTGGGTTCGCAGTTATCTCCAACGTTTGGGAAAGGATTGCCCATACGGAATCTCGTTGTCTCGTTGTATGCCCAATTTCCCTTTACGCCCAACCCGTCCCTTGTCTCTTGAGACCAGATTTGAGATGGTGTTGGGGTCAGCGTTACTTATGTTGAAGGATCAAGTGTGTGTGTGTGAGTGAAGGGGGTTTATCCTAAAGGAAACCTACTTTGGACTCCCTAGGGGACACTGCCGAAGGCGGAGGGGATGTGACTATCACTTCCTATCCGGGGTGGGGGTGGGGAACTTGGGAACAATAGTCCTGGCGGGGCGGAGGCGACGATACGGGCCGGAGCCCTGAACTAGGAGATAACCTTCTCGGCCTCCCTCCCACCCCCACCCCCTTTCCGCTCTCTGCCTGTACGGGAGGGCTGGAGAGGAGGTTAAAAGTCTAGTTCGTGAAATCGCTAGATACCTCACAGTGAGGGGGTCAGATCCGAAGGCGTGGGACCAGAAGTCGACTTCCTACACTGCCCCCCACCCCGCCCCTTTATTTTTCTGCTGGACAATGTTCCCTTTAGGGTTGTTTCTCGGCTTAGGAGGCGGTGGTTGCGGCGGCTGCTCCTACGGATATTGCGCAAGACTGGGGCGTTGGAAACTCTGGAGGTCTGGGGAATGGAAAAGGAAGTGGGACTTTGGGAAGTGGTTGCTCCTTAGCCTTGGCGAGATTTCGGAATGGGGAATAAGCTAGGGAAAATTTTGCTCCTGGGCGACATGCACCTCCGACTATAATCACTTAATTTCTTAATTCTCGATTGTAAAAAGCGATACACAATGTCTATAAAAATGAATGAGCGGCAAACATGGCTAGATTTTGTTTTAAAGTACAGTTTAATGTTTACAAGGTGCAGGTGAAATGACTAGGTACTGAAATACTTCACATTTTAAAGAGACTTCGGTCTAGTAAAGCTTTAGCGTTAAAATTGTTAACAGCTTATAAAATAGATCCTTGATCTTACACAGTATTATAATAGTATTGTGGAGCTTTGTGGTTGCCGCTACCCTAGACCAGTAATAGAAGGTAGGAGTAAGATTTTGTTACTATCTTTTGAAGACAGAAAAATGTAGATTAATGTGTGGATTATTTTGAACATTTTCTTTTGATATTTAGTTTATATATTTTTGAAAAAATTTGATTCTGAGAAGGGTAAAAAAAAGACATTTTCCCTTACAAAACTGATCCTGTTATTTAAAATAATTCGAGTCCCCTTTTTACTGCTCTGTAGCAAAAAAAGAAAATACTAACTTAAAATATTTTAAAAGTAAAACTAGTGTTTTACAATCTTATTTAGGTAATGGAAGAACAGGTGGTGTGGTCCCTGGCCGCTTCTGGTTTGCTTGCTGGTCATCTTGTTATCCTCTGGGTATATCCTGTAAGGAAAGAGCATTCATTGTTTGGTGATGAAGGCCATCAGGACAGGTGCCCAGTCTCTGAACTCCCGTCCTGGGGAAGTAGCCTTCAGGTTCCTGCTTTGAGGATGAGTCAGAGACTCCTATTGGAGATTTAATTTCTCAAGGACTAAATGAGTTTCCTTTTTTTTCCGTGGTACCTAGAGATAGCTAGGTGATTCTACATTTGAGATTTGATGACTAAGGCTATTCTTTTATAGTGCTGGCTTTTTTTCAGTGACCTGATAAGCAATAACTATAATTAAGACTGCTAGTTGCTGCTGCTTTTTCCCTTCACTGGAAGGCTGAAGGGAAACAGTGGAAAGAGAATAGAAGATCAGCTGATAGAGTCTAACTGTTGTGTCATTCTTAAATTATGATGTGGATAAAAAATTGATTTTTAAGTTGTAGCATTTTAGAATTGAGCCTTAGAGATAATCTAGCTATTATAATGCTATTCAGCTTTAAAGTAATAATGTTCTTTTCAAATTTGGAAACTGTAGAATAATCATCAGTAATGCTGTACATTTAGGAAAGTGGTCATCCAAACTGCTTTTTCCATTCTGTCCATCCTTTCTATAGTCCTATCACCCAAAGGCTATCTCTGTTAATGTTTTTAATGCTTCTCTATGACCGTAGTACATATACCATCTTATATTCTCAGTTTTTTTTAACATTTTGATAAGTTTTTCATTTATAAAAATGATTTTAAGTGACTATATACTATTTTGCCTGCCTACTATTTTATAGTTTAACCCTATTTCCTTATGATTGAATGTTTAGGTCATTTATTTTCTGCTGTTATATAATTCTGTAATGAACATAAATACAGAAAACTTTTTATTTTGGGTTATTGCATAATATATTTTCCAGTAGTAGACAAAAGGATATAAACACTTAATGCTTGTTTATAAATAATTTTTTGGAGGTGTGTCAGTTTATACAGTTGTCAGTAATGTGTGAGTATTCATGTAATAATTATCTTGATCTTTGATAATTTGATGATTGAAAATGAAGTCTTATTTTAATTTGAACTTGTTGATGACTAGTGAAGGTGGAAATTTTTCTACCTGTCATTAACTATTCTGAGTTGTATATTCTTGTCCTTGGCCTTATGTACCCCCTTTCTCGTAAAGAGGAGAAAACTAAAGTATTGAGATAGTGTAAACTATGGTACTGAGATGATTACTTACTGAAGGTTAGATGGCTAATTTGTGGCAGATCCAGAACTTGATTTCGACCATCTCTGACTTTCAGTCTTTTTTGCAAGATCACGGACAGTGATCATAACAAATAAATGTATGAAGTAGAATGCTGCACATTCATGTTTGACAGACCTGAGTTTTACTATCCTATCTGCCATTAGCTATCTATCTGACTTTGGGCAGGCCACTTAAAAGAAGTTGGCTGATTTCTCTCATCTTTAAAAGAAGAAAAATGCTGCCTACTTCACAGGGCTGAGGTATGGGTCTGATATTTAGGGTCATCATCTAATAAATTATTGTGCTAAGATCTATTTATCCTCATGGCCTAATTTATGTAGTCATTTACAGATAACTGGAGATAGATAAAAGTAGTTATCTGGGTTTTCACTTTCAATCCTTCTCTTTTTTAAAGCTTTATCCTAAGTTTTGAAACAAGAAGTAGATCAGGCTAAAGGTTATCCAGAGTGCATTGGACACTTGCATATTAAAAAATTGTGAAAAATGACTCTTAAGCTACAAGGAAAGAGGGCAGTTTCAGCTTAAAAACCAGCTCTCCACTTATGAAGGTGAAACAAGTGTTTAAGAGTGGACTCAGTGGAATTTTTAAAAACAAGATGTAGCAGAGGTATAAAGTATAGTACTTTTTGTGAAACATTGGGAAGAAAGGGTTTTTGGACATTTTTCTAAGGCTACACTGGGATATTACATGAAGCCATCCTATGTTAAAATGCTATTTAAAATAACTCTGGTATTTTAAATTAATCTGAGCTTAATTTATCAAAGTACCATAGAAGTTATGCATTTCAGGGAATTTATTATATAAAACCATCCTACAAATACTAGCCCTGACAGAATGCTCAAAACAACCTGTTGGCTTTATTACGATTCAATAATTATTATATTATTTTTATTTTACTACAGTGATGTTAGTGACTTTATTAAATTATTTAAGTAGGAAGGAAGTTAACATTTTAAATCCCTAGTATATGCTAA